TTCGAGAGAGTAGATCCACGACAGACCACCTTGTTCGTATCGAGGCACAGATCAGAGACGCCTTCGTCCATAAACAATATTTTCTCTGTGTTCCTCGATATAGAAAAGGCTTATGATACAACATGGCGTTTTGGAATTCTAAGAGACCTATCCCACCTTGGCGTGCGTGGAAGAATGTTTCACATAATCAAAAGTTACCTGTCAAACCGGACATTCCGTGTCCGAGTTGGCACGGTTCTTTCCCAAACATTTGTCCAGGAAACACGCGTGCCACAAGGTGGTGTACTTAGCTGCACACTTTTTCTCATAAAAATGAATTCCGTGCGCTTGACCATCCCTCGCAATATGTTTTATTGTACATATGTCGATGACGTCCAGCTTGGCTTTAGGTCTTGCAATCTGGCAATGTGTGAGCGGCAGGTTCAGTTAGGTTTAAACAAGCTCTCCAAATGGGCAGAGGAAAACGGATTCCAACTGAACCCACAAAAAATCACGTGTGTCCTGTTCTCCAGAAACAGAGGCATGCACTCAGAACCCGACATTGAACTGAACGGTCAACGGAGCATAATACGGAGCATAAATTCTTAGGATTAATCTTGGACAACAAGTTGACCTTCGTACCGCACATCAAGTATCTAAAAACAAAATGTTTAAAAGCCATGAATATTTTAAAAGAGTTGTCACGTACTAGGTGGGGTAGTGACAGGCAATGTCTCATGAACTTATATAGAAGCCTTATTCGCACCCGCTTAGATTATGGGGCCATTGTTTATCAGTCTGCGACTCAAAGTGCTTTGAAGATGCTGGATCCCGTGCACCATTCGGGCATCCGCCTTTCTACGGGTGCTTTTCGCACCAGCCCCGTAGAAAGCCTTTACGTTGAGTCAAATGAGTGGTCGCTTCATCTGCAAAGAACCTACATGTCCTTTGTATATTTCCTTAAGATGAAAGCAGACAAGAGGCATCCCTCCTACTCTACTATTAATGACTTGTCGAGCTCCATTCTTTTTCAAAACAGGCCTTCAATGAGGCAGCCCTTCTCAGTTCGCCTGAAGGGTCTAGCTGAGGACACTGGAGTGTCACTCGAACACAGTTTAATGCCTCCTGTAGCATACCCGCCACCGTGGCAATGGCAGACTATAGACTGCGATGTGTCTTTTCTAGAAGTTACAAAACATGCGCCTATTGCCCATATCCGAACATACTTCCTGGAACTTCAACACAAATACACACGTCCTGAGTTCTTTACAGATGCCTCCAAGTCTAACTCCTCTGTGTCCTACGCTGCTGTCGGCCCATCCTTTTCGGATGCTGGCCCTCTACATCCAGGCACAAGTATCCTCACAGCGGAAGCCTATGCGATACTTGTGGCGGCTAAACACATCAAGCAATTACAAATACAAAAATCAGTAATTTATACAGACTCCCTCAGTGTAGTAACGGCTCTGCACACTCTTAAAAAACACAAAAACCCAGTCCTTGTCTCACTTTACTCCATTTTATGCACACTGTACACACTCAAACAACATGTTGTAGTGTGCTGGATGCCAGGGCACCGTGAGATTCAAGGCAACGTGAGGGCGGATCAGCTCGCTGCATCCGTCCACAAAAGCACTGCCCCTACACCCATATCAATCCCGGCCCTTGATCTTAAGCCGTCTCTCAAACGAAACCTCAGAGTATACTGGCCGAGCAAGTGGGATACACACACACAAAACAAGCTACACGTTATTAAGCCACACCTTGGTCATTGGCTGCCCGTATCGAAATCGCGTCATACAGAGGTAATACTAACGAGACTCAGGATAGGACACACATACACGACACACACACACCTTTTGTCCGGTGGCGATCCACCATTGTGTGGCAGATGTGGTGAAGTATTGACAGTCCTTCACATTTTAATTGAGCGCAAACAATTGGACACTGTAAGAAAACAACACTTTCCATTACCCTACCGACAACATATACCTTTACACCCTGCAATGTTCGTCGGTAGGGAACCGCTTTTTAGTCACAAATCATTGTTTGCGTTTTTTAAAGAAATTCATAGTTTTCATATTATATACCCGGGCATCCCGTAGCATGACCTCTCCAGAGAGGTTTTTGCTGCGGTGGTTACACAAGAAAGCACTTGCCTCACGGCCCTTGGACGCAAGGGTATGAACGAGTGAGGCACTTGTGCTAATGCCATACATATCCACCATCGTCTTTTATTATCACCAACTTTTGTCATCTATTCACACCACACACACCTATCACGACACAGTCATGATTTTATTACTTGTATGTTTTTACCCGCCTTACCGCGAGGAATTTTATGGCCCTTATACAGCCGCTTATCACAATCATTGTCCATGTTTTTAGTAAGACGAACTGGCGCTCTTTAGCCGTGAAATGGCCCTTGCGCCATAAAACATCAAACATCATCAGGAAACATTTTAACATTATCGACAAGATGCGACGTCACAGAAGAAGGCCCTGCACAGCGCTACTGCACTTTTTGCGATCAACCGGCCTTTCTGAACGGTTGTAGCCAGAACGAACTTCCCGTGTGTGTTTTCTCTCTCTCTTTCTCCACCTTCTTCCTTATCCCTATTTTTTCACCCCCAGTGCTGGGAGCGTGGTGGTTTGGGGTAGTTGGTATGACATGACGATCGTTATAGCGCACAAGAAGAAGACGAGCACTTGTCTTCTTCTTGTTTCTTTGTCATCGTTTTTATCTCGCACTATAACAATCGGCCATTGCTGGGTAGCGAACCGTATGCCAATATCTGGTTAATCTCCCGGCCTTCCTTTTCTCTATCTCTCTCTCTCTCTAGCTCGCCGTTTGTATGCTCAAGTACGTATAGTGTATGACTGAGCTGTTTAACGCGGCGCGCTGAGAAGTGAGGGGTCGTACATTCGAACCCCCGGTCGCGCATTTCGAGGAACGCTTCCTTTGAATGGTGTTCCTTTTATAAAAACACCCATGCTGTGAAGAGCGCTACTAGGGATCTCAGGGTGTTATGTTTACCAGCAGCAAAGGGGCGTGACCAGCCGTCCACAGAGGCAGCAGTGTTTAGAAGCACGAGCTCAGCGTTAGTGTTTCTGGTCACATATTATGAAGAATGCATGACAACCATGGCAGTGACGACAGCGATAGCAAGAGGCAGTCAAGAGTGTCCGTATGTGTTCAATTCTAATAATACGCTAATAATGGCTACAAGGTGCGATATCTATACAAGGAACTTATAGGGTGCGTGTGCTGAAGATTGTTAACGTATGAAATATATCTGTTGCAATCTTTGCTCTTTATCATTGTTTTCCATATACACACAAATTGTATGTATTTCATTATATATCAGTATTGCTGATAACGTCTTTTTGTATATGTCGGTAAGGAACAGCTTTTTTTAATCTTTAACCAATATTTTCTGCGCTTGTTTGAATGGTCATCGTTTCTTTATATAATTTGTAAGTATAATCTTAAATTTTTGTATATACCCTTTTGCTGTACTTGCCCGACGTGCCTCACAAAGAGTGGGCTTAGTCAGGAGACGCTCTCTCCCTTTGCCCCCTTCGTGGGCACTCTGTAAAGAATGCCCAAATAAAATAAATAAAAAAAAAGGTAAAAGTTAACTCATCCAGAGTAAACGCCACCACCACACTCTGGCTTTATACCTGACGAAGCAGCGCACGCACAGTTGGTCGTGACATCTCTTCTGGTCGAGTGGTTACGAGTGAGGTTCCTGGATATTTAGGTGAGTTGCGTGCTCTGTCCACGCGGGTGGGCTTGGGACAGAACAGTGTATGGAACAGCGAAGCAGAACAGCTGTTCGATTGGCCGTTAGGCAACAAGCAGTGGCGTGGTCTCTGCGCGGCACACTATTGTGTTCGAGTTGGACAGATTAGGACTGGCTTAAACAACTCCGTTGTCAAGAAGCGCTGATCAAGAGAAGGCGAGTAATACAGCCGTAGAATCGAACAAGTATATGCTACCACCATTTCTGAACGTGCTTCCTTCATTATTTGAGACGTTTCCATCGTGCTATAAAATAAACATAAGCTATTAAGCTTGAAGTGCTTGAAAATGTGGAGAATAGAGTTTTTGAACACGACGGAATAATTGCTTTGGTGAAAAATAAGTTACTTTGACCCTTTATAATACCACACCTTTCAACGCCTGCAGAACATATACAGCGCCAAAATTCACTGTCGGTAAGGATGAAGAAACTTTGAACGACTGACGCTTGTGCGTAGGCACTTATGTTGTAGAAAGTCAGAATGTGAAGTAAATACGCGAGCATGAACTTCGAAGGCAGCACTGATCCGAAGTACAAGTAAAGTATTTACGAGATTATTACGCAACCACAAGGGTAGCGCAAGGGACGAGGTATTTATTGCAGGCTTCCGCGGTTGCATTTTCGATGGAGGCGAAAGTGTTTGAAGCCCAGGAGTTTAGAGTTAGGTTCATGGAAAAGAACACCAGGTGGTTGAAACTTGATTGATTGATATGTGGGGTTTAACGTCCCAAAACCACCATATGATTATGAGAGACGCCGTTGTGGAGGGTTCTGGAAATTTCGACCACCTGGGGTTCCTTAACGTGCACCCAAATCTGAGCACATGGGCCTACAACATTTCCGCCTCCATCGAAAATGCAGCCGCCGCAGCCGGGATTCGAACCCGCGACCTGCAGGTCAGTGGCCGAGTACCTTAGCCACTAGACCGCCGCGGCGGAGATGGTCGTAATTTCCCGAGCCCTTCGCTATGGTGTGGCATTTCTCGTAATCATGTCCTAATTTTGGATCATTAAAACCCCGATAATTTTAAGGTGACTTTCGATTGTGTCCAGGAAGAAAAAGAAAATAATGACTGGGCTGAATATTTCATTTTTCACACAACTTGAACTTCGATATTGGATTTAGGCGCGAAGGTCGACTTCCAGTAGCGCAAACGGGAAAAATCTCGCGTTATTATAAAATAAATAGGCAGTAATAAAACAGCGATATAAGCACTTACGTTTTGTGGCTCTACGTCCGGATGTTCTGGGTGCTTCTTTTGACAAAATGTTTCTGCAGTCATGTTCTGCCCGGGATAGAACTTGTTCGAGTAGCTGGCTTCTGTATGGACCTGTATGCATGTCTTCTGCAAAGCGCTGCGTAAGGAAAAATACATCCTCGTTACTTACGTTTGTTTGTTTCTTTGTTTAATAACACTGTCAACTCCAAGTGGAGCTTTTTACAAGTCAGAAAAGACAACTTTACAAGACAGCATACAATGCCATGTCGAAATTCGAGCAAAAAAAAAATGGCAGCATATCCACGGAGTGAATGATGGGCAGTGGGGCGAAGCATTCGTCCGTCCATTCGTTCTTGCTTCCGTCTGTTCCTGCGTACGTCTGTGTAACCATCCATGCGTCCATCCACTCGTCCGTGCGTGCATCTGTTCGTGCGTCCATCCCTGCGTTCGTCCATGCATCCGCGCCTGCGTCCGTTCATGCGTCCATCCATGCATCTGTCTGTGTCTTCGTTCGTCCATCTATTCAGCACTCCAAGTACCACCATCTCGCATTTTTTCATCATATATTCTCCATATAAAAGCACCGCCATCCAGCGGACATTTCAAGGACTCAACGGAAGGTGGCATGTGCACGCTTTCTTACGGCTTGCGCTTCGGGTTTACTTCCCACCTTTAACCACCTCGAGTTCATGGTATATACTAGTTCACTGTAATCATGGCTATGCGGCTCAACGCTCGCTAAACCTTTCTAAAACCAAGGAGGTTACACCCAGCGAGTATAACGTAGCAACCCTTTCTTGTCAGATCGTGCTCAATGTACATGCCAATAGCTGCTAATGGGGATCGCAGCGTGCGCGTTACCTAAAGGCCGAATGCTCCTGTCTCTCATTCCCCCTTAACAGCCATAAACATGTGCATTGAGCACCATCTTTTATTGTTCAACAACGCACAGAAGAAATCTCTCACCGGAACCACCTTGGAGGTCCAAATCGTAAGGACCGCTATTTCGGGTACGTGCCACTGGTGGTTACGTACTACGAGGGACGCACAAGCCACGCCATAAAGAGCTTCGCCCCTAAAATAAAACGGCCGAGAAGCACGTTACAAAATATAGACATAAAGCGAACAAAGGCGTGCACGCTGAACTTTGTGCGCATTGAAAATAAAATAAAACACAGGCATGCACACTTATACTGTGCGCATTGAAACAAAAAAAGAATAAATAGGGGCACAACACGTAGACATCAGGAAGACAAGAATAAAACATAATAAAAACAAGGGCTATAATCCATTCGTAACGAGGCTTGCTAATCCTGTCGTGCCTGCAAAACGACTGAGTCAAGCGTGAATATCACAGCTGGTCAAGCAGTATTTACAATTTACGCCTTCATTTTTGGTGTGAGCGCTGGTTTCACGTCCAGGCGACAAGTTGACCCAAGATGATAAGGGATGTTTCTATTCCGTAATCACATCGAAGAGGGATAGGGTTCCACCTGGTGTCACAGACCCGCAATCAAAGAACCCAAAATATTCTATGGAACTTCACGGAAAATAGAATCGCGTCTCTTGCTCATGGCTTTTGTTTCTTTGTTAGTTTTGCTAATTTTCTTTCCTTCTTTTCTGTATTTATCTACTTTTTATTATACCTGTATTTATCATAACATCTTTTCTCTCTCTCTCTCTCTCTCTCTCTCTGGCTCCCAGTCACTTCTTCCTATCTCTGCTGCTCTATTTCTCATTGTTACTACAACATGTTTTACTCTCTCCTCCTCTTCTTTCTCTCCTTCTCACCACCGTAAATCCTTATCGCACTTCCGATTCAAACTCTTTTGCTGTACTACATCACATGTAAAAGACTATGCTAGACTCTGCTAGAGTGTCTGCCAAGCTGGTCATGGTAGAACCTTTAACGCGCCTTATCGAATTTCAAGGGAGGCCTGTAACCTTTTTTCTCCAGTTTTTAGTTGATGATCTCCACATTGTCGTAGTAGTGTCTATTATCCGTAAATGTTATCTTTTATTCACTATATGCGACGCTAACAAGCCCGTAATAGAGGAAAAATATTTTAGACCGGACTGGTACTGCATCTTGGTGAGGTGTTTGGCCTCACCCCTTTGTTGTTTGTATAACACGATGTGAAGAACTGTCGATTGTGAAGAACTCACGCTGTGTTGGCTATTGAGTGTTTATGAGTAACGCTTGAGCGCTTATTGTCGCCATGTGGTCGTACTTTTGTTTGCTTGATTTTTTATTACGCAAATACTTGACTGAATACCATGAAAAAATATAGACAGCCGAGTGGTTTCGACGCTGGCTTTTGGATAGAGAGTTCTCAAGAGCTTCATCAAGGGTTTTTTCGCCAAGATTTTTCTTTCTCTTTTTTTCTCTTTCTGTTTAATCGTCATCTTGCCAAACGGAGTTCTTATAGGCCAAGCCGAAAAAAATGGCACACCTGTTCTAGGAGTGCAGCAGCAGGAGATGAACATGAAGACGTGAATATGGTGATCTCGTGGCGGTTTGAGGTGTTGAGTTTTTTTTTTCCAACAGACTAGCTACGGCGAGCTTCAACAGCTTCACTCTCAAAAATTTGTAACACTTTGTACTGTACTGACGGATTGAAACGGGACACTCGGCGATAGTTACAACGCGAAAACAGAACGACGACAAAGAGACAAGAAGGACACGAAGGATACGAGACAAGAAGGACGCGTCGTTCTGTCCTCGCGCTATAACTATCGTCATGTCATACTAACTAGCCCAAACTGCCACACTTCTAAGGGACTTTTGGAGCGTATGGTTGCCGGTAAATGTGCCACCACTCATGGGTGCTCTTGGAATCACTATGGTGGATTGTGGCAGAGAGTGAGGAAGAGGACACCAACGGAGCAGCATTGCTGCTACCAGTCGCTAAGTATTCGGCATATAGTTCACAAAGTGCACACTGTCAGCGTGGCAATGCGAGGCTCGCGCATACGTGCACTTTCGCATGTTGGTTCATCAAAGTGGTTCGCCACTGTGCACCACTTATATCGTGGTGCCAGCAGACAACCCTCTCGGCCTGCGCGCTTAGGTGATGTATGCATTCTGTACAGGTAGGAGGCGGGATTCAGCTAGACGATTGCGCCTTGCATGCGCTCGTAGGTAAGATAAACTTCTCCATTGAAGCACAAAAAGTTTACGTCGTGCTTTCAGTCACGACATAAAAGAAAGTTTTCTTTTTTTGGTCCTCAACTTTGCAGTGCAGCCTTTACCTCCCTACATATCGGAAGCCTGCCTTCGTGCAACATGGCAACAATATTGTGTATTAGTGTCTGTGACTCAAACTGTGACCTATCCTTTATTAAAAATGCAGAATCTGGCTCGTTTTTTTTTTCTGGATGATAGCTCTATGAAGCGTCGCCACGCAAAACAGCCACCGAACTGGCTGCTCGGGGCAAAACAACAAAATAACAAGGCTTAGTTGCAATCTTGCACGCGAACAGGCCAGTGACTACGGCTTTTTCTTTTGGATGCGGAAGCATCTTATACTCGCGCCTTGTAGTGCGCCGTCCGCGCCGTCCACGCCGTCCGCACCGCTTCTCGAACATTCGACAGCTGACGCGCGCGCATGCGCCGCCGCGCCGTCTCCTCCTTCTTCCACCATCTGTGCATCCCTTCCTCCTCTACACACCGAGCGCGCTTCACTCCTCCAGCATCTGTGCACCCTCCCTCCTCTACACACCGCGTTCGACATCTACAATTCTCCTGATTCTCCAGTGGACGCGCATGCACCGTCGCGCTTCGAGAACATTCAACAGCTGACAGTGCATGCGCCGTCGCATTGTATATATATATATACTCAAGGTCGGCGCTCGCTCGCTCAGTTGCCGCTCGTCGGTTGGTTTGTACGGTTCGTCGACGTCCAAGGTCGCAGTGAAATGAATTCCAACGAATCCACAAACACAATGATCGACGTCCCTTCGACCAGCGCCGCCCTTTCGCATACATGTGTACGTGTTCACTCATTTAACACACCCTCCTACAACCACGTTAACCAATTTAGCCATCGACCCAAGTAAGTCGCAATTTAACACCCCATTTCACAACCACGTTAACCAATTTAGCCATTGACCCAAGTAAGTCGGACTTTAACACCCCGTTAACCATTTATATGCTCCGCATCCTCCTCAGTGTTCCCCCGAGGGAAGCTGCGGGCAATTTTTCAGTTGTGACAAGAAGCACGACAACCTGTCTATGCTTTTGTGCTGCTTAACTATCGTGTCTATGAGCGTATGTCCGTCACAATTTTCTAGTTGAAGGTTCCTTACTTGCTCGGCATGTATGGCGCATCTTAAAAGGCACAGGACAAGAGCGTCGTCTGCTGGCACCGCAGTATCGCGGTGCCAGCAGACGACGCTCTATCCTGTAGCAGCATGCCGCAGTATCGCGGGCTTGGTGGCACCGCACCACCGAGCCCATTCTAGCGACATGCGATAGCACGCGAGTCTTGCAGTGCCACGCTGGCAGTGTGCAGCTTGTGAACTAAATGCTGACTCTTCAGCAACCGCAACGAGTAATCCTACTCTGTTGGTGTTTTCCCCCTCACTCATCCCACAATGGAACACCTTGGTTCCACGATCACCCACGAGTGGCGGCACACGTGCCGACGGCCACACGCTCCGAGTGTCCTGTTTCAATCCGCGAGTACCGTACATACTTCAAGGTTTGAGCCCGATAACCTTCTTCACACTTGGTAATGCACCAAGGTACGCAACTGGGTACCACACTCTCTGCAAGACACGAGCCACGCGCGTAATAAAATTACACTAATGTCCACGGTCGATTCCAATGTTACTCTTGTTCCACATGTCGTGTTCTCCACAACATGGTGCTGTAGTGTTAGGTGGTGTTGCACTGCCGTCGAAATCAATCTGCGCACGACTAATCAAATATGTGTTCAATGATATAGTCAATTCGTGACATGATATACAATTATCATCGGGGAATGCCACCCCGACACCTTGGTGATATCCTAAATACTCGCTCCGCATTGTTACAACCTATGCCCAAACTAAGAACGAAGTAGCCCTCATCAAGTTGTCGGTAATACCAACTGCGTCAACCATAGCTCTTTCGTTTTATCACCAGCCTGCGAAAATCCGTCGTATACTATACATTACCTACTACATAGGAAGGCCCCTCTACCAATGCCCGGTTGGCAAAGCGCAGAATCAAACCTGCGTCCTCGAGCTTCATTGTAGAACGCGCCAGGAAACATAATGAAGCAGTTCCTGCCTGACTTATGAGCTCATGATATCTAAGTGTCTTCACCTACCAGACAAAAACTTTGATTTGAGCCATTGAGCAGTTTGAAAGCTTGTGCATATTCACTACATTGGGCGCTGTGCTCATCAAGTATCCATCATCCCACGAACAGTTAAGCGCATCGGGATAACCTTCGATGGCAAGCGTTATATTTTCGTCATCATGACTCGCCCCTAGTCTGCGCAAAAAAGAGAAAACAAGCCTGTTAACGGTGAATGCCTCAAGGAACACTTCGCATTAACACTGTATCAAAGGACGTGAAATATGTGGGCAAAACATGTTTCACTTCAGTGAGCTCTCGGTGTTAGCTTTCCTGGCTTTTGCATGGCTATTTTATTCATGAATATTATGTGCCTCTACTACACCTCATTGTAGCTTATATGAGTGTTTGATGTCAGACAGAATTAGGTGAGCACTTTATTATTTAATAACAGTGAGCTATTGTAGCGTGTAAAAGTTCAAAACACTTACTTCGCTCACAGACGTTGATAGGAGTGGTACAAGGTGTGTAGTTCCTAGACAGTCGGGGACATGTTGAAGTCGTATGCTACCATGAAAACCATGGAACCTTCGCACTAATGCTGGAGTTACCTTGTCCTTCATGTTATTGGGGCCCGTATGATCCTGTTGAGTAGTCTAGTCCACAGTGTATAGAACAGACAGGTGCTGACACTCACCCCGCAACGCCCGAAAAAGCGCAATGCCAGTGCGTCCAGATAATGTTAGGGCCGTCATCAGTCATCTGACAGCTTCATCAGTGCCTTCTTTGACGGTGCTACAACGAGCAGGGTCAGCCGTCTCGGCAGCACGCTTGGCCAAAATGCGCATGCTTCCTCGGCCTTTGAGCTGGTATGTGTGACCACGCTGTTTAGAAGCCATGCGTTTTGTTCGCGTGCGTTTAATGCAGTCTATCAATGTAGGTGACGTAGAATTGCTCAGAAGACCCCGCAACGGGAAGAAATTGTTTTGAACCGAACCACCGTTCTGACTATTGGACTGGTGCGGAGCGTGTGCCTCTCTTTTTAGTGCCGTCTGACAGTGATCGTCTGGGGCAGTGGCGTCGTGCAATACCAAGGACAAACCAAAATTTAATGCCTACGGGCCATATTTGCGCCAAGAATTTTACGGAGGGCATGACTTCCACGGAATTTCACGCATAGTTCAAGGGGAGAGTGCTACTCGACGTGCCGAAGAGGCCATTCACGCCTTATTCTCGAACTTCTCGAAGTACCACACATGGTCAAGTACAGCGAGGGCTAGTGGATTCCTGTTGACAACGCTACTTTCCAGGATCACCGGAGCATGACTGACAATAATGTTGCGTATGACACCTTTGCACATGCTGTATGGAGCCGTTTCGTAGGCACCGACTTCGAAGTCCTTCCCCCAACCTGGATTAAGCTGATTATGGAGTATTTGTCATGTTGTGCCTCTCTGGGGTACAAGCAGGCATAATAATTTGCTGTTAGTTAGGACAGATTACGTCCTCATTTGTCTGTGATTGGTTGAGTCCGGCCGCATCCACGATAGCTCTTCCAATGAGGGTGGGCCCTGTCTTGGTAATGTTAAGTCTTCCTCTTGGTCTTATCACAGTTCTGATGTGTTCCTTCAGCATCAGTGGCATGCGAGATCCTGTCACAATTAGTTTTTTCAATATATGGCCGCCCGTCTTCATCCTGGGAGCCCTGCTGATGCAATGTCCATCCTGACTCAAAGCGCTTGCATGTTGGTTGACTCTGCCGGCTACGACACTTGTCCTCTTCAAAGATGCTGTTTTCTAGCCATATTCCTAAGCAAACTCTTCGAGGGGCAAATCCACAATCATCTCCGTCATCACTGACTTGTCGGGAGGAGTCGCTGATGATACCGTGGCAGCGCCGTGTGGCGCGCGCTAAGGCCTAGCACAGTGGTGGTGCGGTCGGATCACAAAGTCTTAGAAACTGGGAAACTGAACCCAACGTGAGAGTCTTAGTACCTGAGCGATCCACAGCACTCCGCACTTTGATTGGTACACCTCTTAGGAGCATTGTGTGTGATTTCCAGGCCGAAAATCTTTCAGGAAACAAGAATTTCATTGCGTCAGCAGCTTTTCACTGGGTACGTTTACGGCGGCGCCATCGGACGGCTCATAGCACGTTGTTCCCGTGAGACTAAACATTATCTGACCCTCAGGCGCACTTAGTGGCAACACGTCAATATTCTTACACCATGGTCTAGTCGAATACTGGTTAAATCAAACTGCCAGTTGGGTACTTTGGCCACCTTACATGTGCACACCTTTCTCGACGTGACGTAAAGGAGGAACGGACATGATCAGAGAAAAAAAACGTAGGTGGCTACATTCATGTGAAAATAGATGACCGACGAAGCTGTATTAACACTGATGCTGTAGACAACTTTCCTCTATAGTGAACTGGGTCACCGCAAGTAGCTCTAGTGTAAGCGAACTGTGCCGTCTCACCTACTCCAGTTCCTCTCCAGGCTCTACATCGTACTTCAGCGCCACCACACTGCGCCGAATGCAGTGCCACCTCAACACTCTTCCCATTTAACCTTGTCATTCGTTACACGTAACCTCCATGGTTACGTACGGCAGAGCGCCCTGCCAGAGCTATATTCAGTGGCCATGTTCCTGTCTATCGACGATACGGACGCGAGCCGCACGGCCAATGCATGGGCTAGAGGGAAATTTATTAACTACGAAAACAGCCCCGCCTGGACGGCCGCTTCAGAGAAACCTTGAAAGAAGGACCACATGCATCTCGAAATAGAGGGTCATCTTAAACGTGGGTGCTACTGTTTTCACATTAAAACTTTCCGACACAGCCACACAAAAGGCTGCCATAGATGCTTGACAATATCCACCACATCATCTGCAGATGTGTGATGTGTGCATCTAAGCAGTCGTGAAATAATGTATACTTTGCACAGACTTTGGGCACTCTCCACACAAAAAAGAAAATATTCGTCGCACGGGCATCTTAGCCATCGACAACGCGCGCTAACATTCTTGTTGAACCTGAGTGATCCAAGCAAAAAATAACAGTTTCTAGAGTACTAGAGTGTGTGCTATGTATTGACTGCTGTACGTAATACGTAGCGCACATGCACACATAAAAAAAACACGACACAAGTCGCTGCAAAGCACAACAACCAGGAACCATTTCTGTGCCTGTGACGACACCACTTCATCTCACCCAATTGACGAAAAGCAGGCTTTGTGGACGCTTTTCAGACTGACCTCTCTGTATTCACTTTATTAGGCATTACTGACGTTTTTTTTCAATATTTTTTGTCCTTCGGCACCAAGAGATACCAGAAAGCGTGTTCTTCCTATAAAAGCATGCTGCTATTCTCTGAAACTTCTAGCACAATTAGTATACCTCGGTAGAAAAGTTGTTATGGCGCTTGGCTGCTGATATAGTGTTTCTTAATATACACTAGAGGGAACTCTGGCGCTAGTGTCTATGGGAGCTGCAACACACAACGCTTCAGCGAGCATGGGAATGATGGGTAGTACACACATTTGTCTAATTTTCGTACTTCTGGCCTGCTTCTGGCTCCGTGTGTGTTCGTGTGGCTTGAGCTGTTTTTTCACGAAAACATAAATTAGCAAATGTTCAGCGTTTGCGCTTCACAACCTTATTTTTTTAGGTTTACCATTTCGAATCAAGCCATTAAGTTCAAAAGGGTTCGTTTTTTCTTTCAAAACAAAACTGAAACACAACAATAAACGAAGCCGCAAATACGATTCACCGCCCGCAAGTACGAAGACTAGGCAATTGTGTGTACTACCCATCGTTCCCATGGTCGTTGAAAGATGGCAGTGCCAGAGTGCCCTCTAGTTAATTTTGGGAAACTCTATGGCTGCTGACTAGTAGGTCGCCGACTCAATCCCGGCCGTGGCGGTTGCATTTCTACGGAGGCGAAATGATTGAAGACAATGTGCTGTGCGATGTCAGTGCACGATAAAGAGCACGAAATGTTCAAAACTCCGGAGCCCTGCACTACGACGTCAGTCATAATCGTTTCGTGGTTTTCAGACGTAAAACCCCGGATAATGTCTTGACCGAGCATAATGACAAACTCCAGAACAACAAAACAAGCTTAAGTCACCTGGCCCATCGGCATTTCGTATCTCTGAGCGCATCCTAACGCTCATGTGCCCAACCGGAGCACATGCACATATTTTAACTTCTGAAGGCCCTTAAACTCAGCGGACCTATACACTTACACGTCGAGCTGTATGTTTAAGCTAACTTATGTCAACCAATATTCAAACTCAGTAGGCCTGTAGTCCTACACTCTGAACTGTATATTTAAGCTGAATTGAACAAACAATCTGCTTGTTCACAAAAACACAAACAGAAAACCCAGCTTATCTCACACAACAGAGGTTCGCGATTCTTTATAAGGCAGCCACACTGAAACGCTAAATGCATGTCTAAGTGACTACGCGTGACATGAATCAGTTAGGAAAAAATATGATACAATGGTATGTACAGTGAATAAGTGACTGAGGAGGTGAATGAATGAGTGAGCGAAACAACCTTACTGAAGAAACCAGTGGACTGAGGTTAAGGCCTAGACCACGTCAGGGGCGATGGAGAAACCCTGTCTCCAAGCGCCTGCCGGTCTGACTGTATGGCCCATATTTGTTGGAACTGAAAAACGTTGTAAGTGTTCCATGAGAAATACGTTGCGCTGTATTAAAGCCCTGAGTCACGAACTTTGAAGGACATTTAGGGAGGCCTCTAAATTTGTATTTACACGAACCTCTCGTAAAACATCACAGGCTAATACAGTCACACCTTTTGAATCACTACTTCAAGAAACATTAAATAGTTTCTCAAACGCGATAAAAATCAATGGGATATTACGACTGAATATTGGATAAGTGGATTTCGGCGAGCAATGTAATTTGTGTTACTTCACGAAAAAAAGTTATTTGTAACTAAATAACATGCATTATCAAGTTGGTGGCTTTCTTACCGCAGATATAACGGTTCGTAGCTGCAATGCCTTGCAAAAGTCACGTCGTATTTCTTTGATGAAAATACTAGCTCTGCTTATGCTACCAGAGCATGTATTTTAGATGAAAAACAAACAAACATACGTATGAGCAATCTCATGAGCCATTGTAGATACTCCGCTGTAGAGCAGTGGCTCGTCTTCTACAACTGCAGCACTGTAGTTTGTGCAAACTCCGCCCAAATTAGCCACACCTGCATGATTAGAGCGTTCAAGATTATAAAGGAAAATTGTTTCACCGCAAGGGCATAAAAATGAGTTGAATAGAAACAAAGTGTCTTATTATACGTAGTAAAACTGGCAGGTAACACTTTTGGACTCGACCTCGAGTAACTCTAGAAAACGTCGGTGTGAGAGAAGATAGCCGCTGTAGGCTGAAAACCACTTTTAACAGTTTCTTCGTATTGAGAGCGCACCACGTAGAAGGTGTACGATCCGTCTGCTGACGTATTTCGAGGATTTGAAGTCAAAGTACACCACGCTGTTCAAGTCAAAGTTCACAGCCGCTGCTCTAGTGAAAGTGAACGCCTTAAGATCGGGGCAACGAAAGTTGCCATGTTGATGCTGGGTATGACATTTGATCTGCGATGTTACGAACGACCGTATAAATTTTGGAGTGAATGCTTTTCAGTGCCACGTCGTTCAAGGTCACTCATCGCGTCGCAATGACCTTCAGCGCGAGTGGCAGGAGCGCCGGATTGACAAGCATGACGTCCCGGCACGTGATCCATGGTAGAGAAGAGCTCACTCGGAGATGTGGTTGCAAAACGTGGCTAGGCGAGAAACCCCTCAATATGCTCTCGCACGCGGCTCTTTGTGTGTTTTTGCCGTTGAGTAGTTCGGTTCAACTCTCCGCTACTTCCGATACTCCTAGCTTGTTTCATGACGTGAGAGTGGGCGATGTCACAAGTCACAGACGCTATCGAGTGGGCGAACATGAACCGCTTCGCCTGTTAGCGGTTCTTTCTCCGAGCACGGAGAGCCAACAAACAGAGCGTGGACAAAGAAATAGCGATGTCAAGAATGACCGCCTGTATATAGACTATCTAAGGCGTTATTACCATTCGCTGTAGACTACTGCGTGAGTGCGACGCCTCGTACTGAATTTCAAGCCCTCAATGGTAATTAAAAAACTCAATATTTAAGAAAAAAGAGAGAGAGAGAGAGGAGGCCAAGATAGCAGTTGTCATATTTTATTTTCCAACGGTTTTGTCTGGTTAAAAAAATTTAAGACAACCGCTACGTTGTGTCTCTTCTCTTCCTAAGCACGTTTGGACCAATAAAAAATATATAGATGCATAAACGCCGGTATACATGTAAAAGCCATATCACAACTGTTCCGCCACAGCGGACGCCGATAGAAATAACGAGGGTCTGTGAATTGATTATGGTGCATAATAATGAGAGCCCGCTGAGTGCAAAAATAGAGGCAACATGTTCTTTGTGGATCTTGTTTGTTTGTTGTATTTATCTGACACGCACTGATTTTCGATCATAAGTTTTGTATTGAGGAGCACGTACCTTGAACTTTCCTGTTGATACAAGTGTTGTTGACCTCCATCGCAAGGTCGCCCCTAGGAAAGAAAAAAAAGTATTTGCCCTGTCACTCCAGAAGAAATAAAAATCTAAAAAAACACAAAATCACAAAAATACAGCTGCAGATGAAAATCTCAAAAGTGATCCCGTTTTCATGATTACTTTGCTGTCATGCAATACTCATTAATTGCACATATTCTATAATTGTTCCTCAACACTAGTGTCTTCACTTCTCCTCTCAAAATTGCCAAAGAGATCGAACATAGCAGCTGCTTTTGACAATCTCTCCCCAGTGCAATTTACGAAGTAGAAAACAAAGAGGTCGATAGCACAAATGATCAGCCACGAGCAACATTTATTTAAAAAACACATGCGCTTAAAGTGAACCAGAGAAGATCCATTAGGGATTATGGTTGACCTGGGGCTGTTCCTAACGACTAAAGGTAAGAATCATAATCAAGGAAGAAAGACTCAAACGCATACCGTCACTGAAATCAAAATCGATGACATCTTCGGTTCTTACGGTTAAAATAATTTTGTGCACTCAATTATCCTAATACGTTGTAAAACTTTGGCAATGCGTAGAAGACCTGGAGTTTTTAACTAAATGCAGCTCGTATTGTGAGTTTAAACTGTTGTTACATTGTCTTAGTCATAAATTCAAAGACAATGGTTCCGGTCCTATATACATCATGCCACGGTGAATCTGTAAGTAGCATATAGACCAACAATTTCTTGATTGATTGATTTGTGGGGTTTAACGTCCCAAAACCACCATATTAATATGAGAGACGCCGTAGTGGAGGGCTCCAGAAATTTCGACCACCTGGGGTACTTTAACGTGCGACCAACAATTTCTTAGCGTAGAATATGTTTTCAGGTACCTTATTGCACTAACTTTAATTGCAGAAAATTGATGTTCATTATGGCTTGCGAACCCTGAAGCCTAAGCACTTCATGCTCTCTAGAGTGATTAAAGATAAAGAATGGCCATACACTTTTTATTACAGCATACCATATTTGCGAACGCGGTAGGTAAGACTTATATTTAAATTCTTAGTATGAATAATTTGATGTTCCATGAAATTGCTTTCGTAAGTATACAAAAGCGTATTGCAATCAGCTATTAGCCTACGTCGTGGCAAACAGCTAGCCAATGATGAATCTCTAACACGAATAAAGCTCTTGCTGAAGAGAAGACACACCTACGAGTTTTTGCTAAAACACGCTTGATTGAAGATGGTGCTATGACATTTTTTGTTGTAATCGAGCCAACAGTTATTCTGGTTTGACGATAACGTACGATGGTCAGGGGTAACGTTATGAACTTAAATGAAAAAGTTGGAATAAATCCAACTTTGATTTTTTATATTTCTTTTTTCGAACTTCAGAGAAAAATTACGTGGGCACATTGCATGTTTTATGATCATGAATGTGAAAGCCTGTTTAAGCCTTGTTTTGTTGAAGCACTATGGACAGTTTGCAAGAGTTTTAAGAAGCTTTCAGGCTCGTAAGGCTAATGATTTTTGACTTGGGTGACCTTCCGTGACGGTGCTCAAACACGAATTTCGTTTTATTGATGAACGGGGGACATGAAACAATTTTTCAGAAGTCGACATCACTTGACATGAGCGGTTTGTACATATACGTTCATGTTCCTTACTTGTGAGCGCAGCACTTTGTGTCTTTCTTGTCCTTCTTGTCTACGTTCGATGCACACTATTTGCATTCAAAACTCTTTAGGTGGCCACAACCTCAACTTGTCCGTTTGTAACGGAATTTGGCCGTCTTCATTGTGACTCCTACGGAGCTAAAGATTGCAAAAGTGAAAAAAAAAAGGGTTGCACAACTGCTGCTGCGCCAAATTAAGCTCCAGCGCTCTGCAAACCGAAGACCGGTATAGCACGGACAACCTGTGATTTCTGTAAAAGCACGTTCGCCCTAGAGTGACACGACACTTACACGTCCCCAACGAACACACAAGGCAGACGCAGACCATCGGCCGACAAGTCACCCAGTGACGGATTTGCCAGATCACCTGGTCACACTAGGCTGACGACGATAACGATGCCTCGTCGAAGGGTAATATGATGACAGACCGAAAACACCAGCAAAATGCATCGGCAGACCTGCCATCGGCGCGTCTTCGGGAGATCTGTGGCTGAACGAAAATTTTCCCATGTGTTCGCTTCAAACGACCACGAAAAGGGAAATCTTAAATCTTAGGGGATATAAAAATGGCCCTTCCGAGGCTTCCACGAGGTTTGAATAGGCGTCTTGCGGACGCACGGAAGTCTTTTCTTCGCTTCCGTTTTGTGTCTCCTCGCCCAGTCTCTCGACGCTGTAGATTATGGTGGTGGTTGCGCCACGTAGCCGGAGAGGAACATTGGTAGAGCTGGGAGCATGGCTCGAAATGAGGTGCAGGTGTGCAAGATTAGTCGGTGTCGCTGCGTGTGCTTCAAGCGTGACTACAGAACTGGTCAAAAAAAGGCTGTGATCATGACAAGGCGCGGATGGAGTCTTCCAGAAACCATTGGCAGGCTGTTTGAGTCGTTCCAGTGTAAATATGACGACTACAAGACGAAACACTCTCCCAGAGACATTTGGGAGACCAAAATCGGTATAGTGTCTCTCGAGTCGATAACGATGATGTCCGAAGAAAGAAGTTACGTATTAACCAAAGCGAGCTGAATCTTCAATAGGAAGATTCAAAACTTGGTGTGCCGGGCGCTCACAATTTTTCGCTGTGTTTTATCGACTTCCTGCTTCTTGCGGCCACGTGATATTTGTCATCTAGAGCAACTTCCGTCAAGTTCTTTCTCTCTTAGGATGTAGCGATGAAGCACCAGGCTGGGGGTGAAGGTGCACCATTCATGCGCGTGGCGAGGTGGTGAAGGCCTTTTTTGTGCGTTGTGGGATTCAGCTACACGCTTCCGAAGCTATCGTAGGAATATCACGTCATAATTACGACGATTGCGTCTTGCTTTACTTATACTGGTTCACTTCTCCTACACTATTTGCTTTTTTTTTTACTTTTGCCTATGTACCTCCATACTTTTTCGCAGACTATACTTATACTTGTATATTTATACGTAAACCTAATAACTATAGCGGGGTTTAGCGCTGCAAAAACATCAAATGATTATGATGATGATGATGAAAAACATTTATTATAAAAGAGAGAGGTACGGGGCCAAAGCTTGACCCCGCTACGTGGTCGGCGTCCTTAGTCCGGGACACAGCATGACGAGGCCCCTACTCGCGCCCGTCTCACCAGAGCCCGTTGAGACTCTAGTGATGAGCAGTTGAAGAGGGCAGTCTGCCATGCCTCTCGGGAAGGGGAAGGGGGTAGGTGGGGATTTTTCGGACATGCCCATACCATGTGGAAGATATCACACGTCTCCCCACAGTGTGGGCACCGCCCGTCTGTGTTCGCATCGAAATGTTTTACGATTGCAGGACAGAGTAGAGTACCTATCTGCAGGCGCCTTAGAGTTCGCTCTTCCGCCTTACTCAGCCCCTTTGCAGGAGCCGGGTAAAGGCGGTGAGTGTCGCGATAATAGGTCAGAATTTCTTTGAACCGCAGCAGCGGTGTATTGGCCTCCGAGTCATAAAAGCCAAGGTGAGGAGCCCGGTGGGTAAGTGCTCGGGCGGCCGCGTCAGCGGCCTCATTACCTCGTAAGTCCTGATGGCCAGGAGCCCATACGATGCGTTTCGGGGCTGGATCAGCGAGAGCCCGGTTTAGAATTTGGCTGGCTAGGGGGGATATCTTTCCTACCAAGTAGTGAGCACATGCTTTCTGGGAGTCCATGATGATAACTTTCCAGTTGGGGTCCGCAGCAGCAAGCGCTATCGCGACTTCCTCAGCGCGCTCTGGATTTTGTGCTCGAAACGAAAGCCCATTGACATGCTTTTCCCGGTGAACTACACAGGCCGTGTAAAATCGCGTGGGCGAAGGCCCTGCTATATCTACGTAGAATACACCAGGTCGGGAGCCGTGTTGCCTCTCAAGCATCCGAGCCCGCGCCTGTCTTCTGCTTTCGTGCGTGTGCAAATTATTATGAGAGACGCCACAGTAAAAGGGCTCCGGAAATTTGGGCCACCTGCGGTTCTGTAACGCGCACCTATATCACGGTACACAAGCTTCAGACATTTTCGCCTCCATCAAAGGCACAGCCACCGCAGCTGGTATTCGATCCCGCAACCTTCGGCTTAGCAGTCGAGTGCATAACCGCCAGACCACTGCAGCAGGGCACCTATGCCTTCATACTTATACATTCATACCGATATGCTTATATACCTATACCTTTACCTCCATACCTATACCTGTAGTTACACTATGTCTTTACTTACACTATTACAGCGAAAGCTGCATATGGACAGGACCAACTGAACACCACCCGGCAGCGGTGTCCCGAGAGGTCTCCATTGGCTGTGTTATCAGTTACGTCGTTCACAGCGTCGTACCCAACCACGCGTTCTATTGACTGCGTTGTGAATGACGTCGTTCATCCTGTCGCAGCCGTGGCCTTGAGCTTGCGCGCACGAAGTACCCCTGAAAACTTCCGCATTGGTGTGCCGCGGACCACTCTGTAAGGGCGCCGATAGTGGAAACGTGAGGGAGCTCACTCTCGCCGGGCAGATGGCGCAGTCCTGGCACAAAAACAGTTCCGGGAGGCCCAGTGTCGACACCAACTGCGTACCGATCATCCCGCGACCTTCCCAGCTGCGCTAAAGCGCGAACGGGAATGTACATACCTGTGGCGGGCGGATCCTGTGAACCACGCTGCCAAGTTAGCTCACCATGTCAAACGCTTGCAAAAAGGCTGTGTTGTGGCGTCAGTGGGACGATTGTGGGACCACGTTTGCCGGGGCGAACGCCCGGATGAGCCGGTAGTTTCTTCAGCGGCACATTGTCTTCGACGGCGACATCTGTGACCGCATGCATACAGTTGGAGAACAACCATTGTGGTTACCTCATTGCGAAACGCATCTAACCACTCATTTCACTTCTCGCCGACCATCATCATGTGAGGCAAAATTTTTAGCACGTGAAATAAAGAGTGTGGTAAACCCACACCAAACTGTGTCTAACCTCGTTAGAAAGCACGAACACGTGAACAATAATAGTGAAAGGCTTCAATTCTACGTCGTGTTTAATTCACTGCTAAACAAAAGGGGCTACGCACGTTGAAGCTTTCGCTGAATAACCATTTGTACGGAGTACTTGAGCGAAGATATTTTTAGCCTTTGGACATTTATTGTAACCTGGTTTGGAGTATCGCAAGCCTTGTTTTAGGCTTTTATTCACTTCATTTTGAGCGCGAATCTGTGATCACGCCAAATGAGATCTATGACTGGGTGACAAACCAGACCCCCAAAATGCAATGCCCCTCAGAAATCGGACACGTTGAGCATCTACAGCTAGAAAAACGCCGCGTTCTCTGAAAACAACGTGCGAAGGGTACTCACACACATGGTCACTAGGGTCTGCCTACCTGATAAGCTGCAAAAGAAGGTCACAACCTTCCAAATCGCAAAGACCTATCAGGTCTGCGGTGGCATTTAATGCGTCAAGTATGTCTGCTGCACAGGTATTGTGCTTGTTCAGCTCATGGAGTGTTAGTCCACAGATATTTCTGCCAGCTATGGAATCATTCTGCAAAAAAGACACAGAAAACTAAATAGGCAGGAGAAAAAGAAGCACACACAAAGCCTGCCCTTAACGCAGAACTGTAATAGCGTAAGTTAAAACAGTGGCCTTCGTGAAGCCCGTTGTGATCTCTATTGAACCGACATCTTCCAATACAGCTCTGAGGTACCCAGTTAATGATTGTGATGGTTCTGCCAAAAATGAAACTGCTGATTTTGCCCTAATATGTCATGCTGCGAAGTAGCGAGGTATGCGATAGTCGTCTATACGGAGATTCGTGCACCTACAAAACTGCGCACTTTGCTGATACTGTGGCTGATGATGAATAGTTATAGCTGAGCCCTTTTGTAATGGGCAGAAAGCTTTAAACCTGCGGCTCGTGAGAGAAACTCAGATTGTGTTTCGCATACTGTTATTTTACTCTTCAGCTACGCACTATTACAAATGTTAACATGGTTTTTATACCGACATGATGCCCATGCATGCAGGTCGTTTTGAGATGTTACACGACTCTGTCACCTCACGTGCCACGAAGTAATGAATCTGAGTTCAGTACAGGTTTTAGCACTCTTCCTTTTCTCATCATGTTAGATATCAGAGGGGGATGTTCGGCATCTAAATCGGCTGTTGTTGTGGGTTCAAAACAGCTATATGTTGTCAAAAACATATTATTACCATTAATATTACTGTTATTGATAATACTATTATTATTTTTATCGCACGGTTTAGCTGAAGAATTCTACTTATTTGAACCTCACGCGTCGGTGATGCCTAGCAACCCCGGAGGCGTACAGGGTGTCAGAAAAGCCACATTTTCAGCGCATTGTCGGAACAATGAATACGGCAGCATTGAATCGACTGCTTTACAAAGTAAGGCTCACATACGACTTAGATTAGCAGTAAAGTTAGCAGGTGCCATACTTTGAGGCCTTGTCGACGCATGTCCCGAATGTACGTCTCAGCCTTTTTGATCACTGCATGTCCACTTACGAGGTCAGAAATTGAGACGTAGACAGCGTCGTCATGCAGCCAAGTAAATAGCTCTAAAGCAGCAAGAAGGAAAGCTTAGATATCCAGAACAGCGTAGAGGTTGCTCATCAAGCACGTGAAATGCACTTCTGACCGCTACAAAGGGGTAGCGCTCTAAATGCTATTAAACCGACTTGGCTGCCTATATTCAAGCGTACTGTTCAGTACCGGTAAGTATATTTCTAAAGCGCGTACTTAAGTGCAAACGCGCTTTTTAATTCTCATAATTCAAACTCAGACTTTCTTTAGATGTGTTCGCTATTTTCTTCGAAAGTAAGTAAAACCATCTATCTTGTGCGCCAATATAAGAAAACAGGGGCTTCGGACGTGCCTGGCACTGTGATCGTGTCTGGAAAAGAAGTGCGCGTTCGTTAAATGGCGTGGTTGTACGCATTTGGGCGCGAGACACAGTGTGCGAGTTCGACGAACGTTCTGATCGGGCCCCGTGCAACGAACTTTAATACGTGTGTTACTTCGTGTGATTCTTTTTGTTTAACTTATAATAATGTAGTTCTTTGTTCAGACAATTGATTTCAAGCAAAGTCTCATTTGTTAGTCCCACATTTTTAACATATAAAAATAATGAAGTGTGTGGGAGAATCTGAGCAAACAGCAAAAGCATTTGAAAGACTATGTTCGTTTGTGACTCGATTACGAAGGAGCACTGCTAGGCTTACATATATCTAAAATCCAAAAAAAAACCAAATTGGTTCATGATTTTAATGGCAAGAACATAACTAATGCAATGTAATTAGTTGAGAACACGCAAACCTTTTTGATATTTCAAGTTAGAACAGAACTGCTAACTTAAATCTCATTGAAACTGGCTTTTCAGTCCAATTTCTTCCAGCTCATTGTAACGGTGCCCATTTATCGTTCCTTCATAAACTTTTTTGACCACTCAGCTCTGCATGCTGTATATATGCGTACGGCGCACCATTTATTGTGTCGCATCGGCCATTTTTCAAAGAATCACATCTTTTTTTGCAGGGTGAACACATTCTGATAGCAATTCAATTTTGTATGTCCCTAGAGTGGGACTATCTTCCAGAAAACATTTCATGTTTTAGTGATAAATGCTCGTTTCGTGGAGCTTTAAAGAACACCAATGACAAGATTATTGGCCTGTATACCCTAGTCCTACCTGTCGTATTTATTTAATTGAGAGTTATTAGTTTATTTACTCATTTATTGATTTATTATACCTCCACAGCGCCTCATGACATTAGGGGAAAAAGCAACAAAGTTCACAGCATACAGTGCGGTAGAAAGTTCTAGCAGCATTAAGAGAAAATACACGAATACAAATGCAAGAACATCATTACCGTAACAGTAGAATGCACCATAGCAGTGCTATAAAGCATCCTTGTGCAAACAATAATTAACAATACAAAATTAGAAGTGCACGATAGTACGCATACTTAATTTAACAAGGAAGTGCGCTATAGCAACAAATGCATAAATATATGAACAATATTAACAACAAAAAATTAGGTACAGAAGCATACGGAGGTGATCACGATAGTAGTATGAGGAAACAGTGACTCCAATACAGCAATAAATATTTTACCAGTGCCAAAATATGTCATAAAGCGTTATAATGTCTTGTTATTCTTGAATATTCTGTATATTTTGTATGCCTGTTATATTGGTCATTTGCTGAATACGTTGTTAAAACAGCTTCCTGTCAATCAGCTTTAATTGATCGATACGTGGGGTGTAATGTCCTAAAACCGCCATATTATGAGCGACGCTGTAGTGGAGGACACCAGAAATTTCGACCGTCAGGGGTTCTTTAACGTGTGCCCAAATATGAGCACACGGGCCAACAGCATTTTCGCCTTCATCGAAAAATCACCTTTAGTGATTCACCTCTTCCCGAAGGCTACCTGCATCTAATGAGGTTTTTAACGGCCCCCCCATGAGTGGAGGCATTGAAAAAATTTCTCCACCTCGGATTGTTTTGCAGGGACTCTGGGATCGGCATACCTTTGACCAAGCCACGATGTCACGTGATGACTTCATGATGCCAGGTCACGCTATGTGGCGTCGTGGTTACATCACAGTGTGGCGAGCTACTCAATTGTGATTTTCCAAGAGTGGTGCTCTTTAGGCTTTGAAGTAACACTGCGTGGCATCCAAGAAACTCAGGCGTGCATGCACCGCAGGAATCAGGTAAGCCCCTAGAGTTTCCTATAAATGCACTAGATAATGATAATGTAATGAAATCTGGGGTCTAGCGTTCCAAAACCACGATATCGTTATGAGAGACGCCGTAGTAAAGGGCATCGGAAATTTCAACCCTCTTGAATTCTTTTACGTGTACCTTTAAGGTAAGTACACAGGCCTAAACGATTTTCGCCTCCAACGAAAATGCAGCCACCGTAGCCGGAAAGTATATGCGCTTGAGGAAACTCCGGTGTTTGTGTCTATAGCAGTCACAATGCACCACGCTTCAGCCATTATGGGAATGGTGGGTAGTGTACGCGCCTGCCTAATTTTTGTTATTTCGGCTTCATATGGCACTGTGTGACTTGAATTTGCTTTGAAGTCCTGCAAGATGAAGTCCCGCAAGTGTTGAGCAGTTTTACTTCACCGCCTTAACATTTCAGGCTCATCAATTCAAATCGGGGTCACGAAGTGTACAGTTGTGCGTTCTTTTGTTCGAAACAAAAGCAAAACAGAACAATAAACAAAGCCACAAGTGCGTTCAAAACCGCAAGCACCAAGACTATAGGAAAATTTGTCTACGACCCGTCATTCCATTAGTGGCTGAACCATCGCAGCGCCAGAGTCCCCTATAGTTAGTATTAGGAAACTCTATGGGTAAGCCACGGCCTTCGATATGGCGGGTGCCATCTCGGAGGCCATGGGTAAGCTCGACAGCCAAGTACAGCAGGGTTGATGCAAAGAAAAAAGAGTGGAGGGATGTTGGAGCTTTGGGTAGGATAGAGTAAAGTCTATAGTGAAACCAGAACTGCCTATGCCGTGAGCTGGAGAAGAGGAGAAATGGAACTATGAAAGAAGCTCACAATTGGCCAGAGCACGCCATTTGATCCTAGTAGAAATGAGAAGACCGTGACTTATAGCGACAGCTTCTGGAAATATCTTCGCGTTGTGACTAGGATTTGTATTTTCGAATCGTGCTTTAAAGTAGTAAAAACCGTAACGTCCGGCCGTCTAACCAAATAGCCTTGTAGCTGTGGAGTCGATCACTTTGGTACACGTAGTCGCGTAGTGTGATGCTGTCATGCGCTCCAGTCCTCCAAATTTGAATGTGTGTATTACTATGGAACCCCACCCAATGCTGCGCTGCCTAGGACGTAAAAGGACTTGCACTGTAACAAGTGACGCTGCCTTTGTGGCAGCCGGTGGACTAAGTCGAGCGGTGCATGCGCGCGGAGTGCGGGCATTTGCAGTAAACCCCCGCACTCGAAGACGAGCCGCTCTTGCGCTCAGCGTTTGCAGCGTGTCAGCATGTGCTGTCGCGTTTGCATACGATTTCATATTCACCGGAGATAGTAAAATTCTGATAAATGTTTCGCGCGCTGTTTTCCACCTTACCGTTCCGTGATTAGACTCACTGACCGGTAAGCCTTCCGTAGCGCTAAACAAAATGAACGTCATCAAAAAAAGGTTGCCGGTTCCTCTAAGCGGGAACTCTGTTAGCCGAAGTGAAGAGGAAGAACAACCATTATTGTTTTGCATAATTGCACGAGCTGTCACACTACTTCGGCGTTTAGATCCCTCCCTTGGAGGGGAGTGAATATTTTTTTTTCAAGTACCACCAAGTAGCCGATGACTAGCGCAGTAACAACAGGAGTATATGAAGGCCATAGTGAGACAATTGGGTTACTTTTTGTCTTCACGCGAAACAGTGTACGTTATGTATAGCAGGTCATCACACTAGAATGACACAAAAATATATGCGCCACTAACGAAAAGCTCACCTTATATGTTATAATGTTATT